CATTCATTCTCTCACCACCAACGTGTCGTATCTCAGTGATAGTGGAGTCTTTGATCCAAAGCCAACATTATAGAAAATACTCCAAACCACCCACTCTGCCCCTACCTTAAAACGATTGCCCTCCAGCTGCTGACATCAACCTCCAATGAGACACACCATCAGTACCCATCATTAGCACAAACTCCATTGGAATGCCATTGTGCAAAATGCATACTGTTCTCTGTGCTGCAGTCTGTAATTGTGTACAGTTGTTATTACTTTTTATTACACGGCTTAGTTGAATACTCAATTTGAATTGGTCAATAAGGACATTTAGCATTCTGCACTTTTTTGATAGCAGATCAGCGCTAAGGTCGCTCTGATTAAGGGACTAAGTGCAGTCATATCAGTCCAATCAACTTAATGTCAGCCAAGGCCAAGAAACACATTTGCTGTTTGTTTCTCAATCAGAGAAGAGCACAACACTTTTGATTCATAATGGCTAAAAACTTTCCCAGTAAAGAAAAAGTAAAAAAGAACAAGAAATCAAGAGAGAGAAATACACAGCACGCTGGAAGATAGAGAAATCAGCAAAAGCGGACAGGAAATAAACACTAAAGAAAACAGCAGAAGACCAACAGGAAGTCAACACCAAAGGAAACAGCAGAAGAAGACAGAAAGGATGTTTTGTCAAATAAGTGTTTTTTCTACTACATGTAAGTAGCTGTGAAATAAGCAAAATATTGTGCAGCAAGTTGGTCATGGTAGTGAAAGGAACCTCTAGAGTCTACTAAAATGCAACAAAAAAAAAGGGTTTGATTCTATTAATTTTGTCTTTTTTATTGCACTTTGGCAGCAGATTCCTGTGTAGCTTCAGATCTGAGTTGTCTTATTAGTAAGCCTAATTTATACTTTTGTAGGAACACTATTTTTATATAATGGCAAAGAAAGGGTTCAGTCTTTTCTTTTTTTCCTGTGTCATATGGCAGCACTGTTCAATGTTTCTTGAAAACATTACCCACTGTAGTATGTGACGTGTGAATAGAGTTGGGTGTAACGCGTTACTGTAATAATATTACTTTTGTCGGTAACGGAGTAGTGTAACGCGTTACTTTTATAATTCAGTAATCACACTACAGTTACTAACATTGCCCCGACACGCGTTACTTTGTTACTTTTATAAAATCAGTCATAATCACACTGACAGACAAGAGGGGTTTCCGCCGCAGGTTTATATGTACGTAATCTGCGCGACTTGCACGTCCACATCTCCACGTGCAGTGCTGCATAAACATGGCTGAGTCAGCGATAACTTTCGAGGGGTGGAGGTATGCCCATTATTTTGAGTTCGTCCGAAGAATAGACAGGAATGTGACGGTGAGGTGCAAACTGTGTCCAGGCCAGAAGCTGTTATCCACTGCTGTAAACACCACGTCAAACCTCAACAAACACCTGCAAAGAACACATGCTAAGCTGTCTTGCAAGCTTGCTGTGGTAGGCTGGTAGCCTATTTAATTAAAGAGCATATAAAAAGAAAGACTTGTGTTATGTCTTCCTTATTGCAATAGTAATTGGGGGTGCTAGTGGAGTCTCGCAGAGGCAAAACTGTGGCGCGCTTACACTGTGGTGCACCGCAGTCTGCGTGATCTGCCTGTAGGGGGGGGCGGGCCAGCCCTGCGAGTAAAGTAACGAGTAAAGTAACGAGTTACTTTATGTAGAGAGTAACGAAGTAGTGTAATATATTACTTTTTTTTAAAGTAATATGTAATATGTAATATATTACTTTTATTTAGTAACGACCCCATCTCTGCGTGTGAATAAACTCTAACTCTGTATCAACAACACTGTTGTGTAACTTCAGTTAAATACTTGTATGTGTGTAGATTAGAAAGAGGTAAGAGAAAGGATCTGCAGTATTTTATGAAGTATTAATCGTACAAAGGTCAGTTTTATACAAGTAGAAGTGTGTATTTACCTGGTAGTAGGCTGTCAGTAATGGCTACGCCTCTCTATTTGGACTGGTAGATCTCGGCAAACTGGCAACTTTAAAAGTAGCTCTCGGTTCAAAAAAGGTTGGGCACCTCTGCTCTACATGAAGCGGTTCCTTTCACTGCGGGCTACATATCATCCTTCATATGATGATGGTTCATGAAGTTTGCATCAGCCAATTTCATTCCTTTCAATGTTCCCTGACAAACTGGGGGATGTACTTCTGTCTCAGGTAGAATAACATAAACTAACTGACAAACAGGATGCTTCGAGTGGCTATGGTTACAATGTAACCTGTTGGGTGTGTACTGGAAGGAGCTTGGCCTTGAGGCTATTGTCAGAGTGAGACAGTAAACATGCAGAGAAGCAGTCCACATACTGCTATGTTACAGGATCAAATCAGTTTAAAAGTGTGGTTTTATATACTATATATAGGGCTGCTCCACCTGCAGCTTGAAAAACTAAGGAGATGGTTGTGGACCTGAGGAGAACCAAGGCACCGGTGACCCCGGTTTAAATCCAGAGGTCAGTGTAGACATTATGGAGGAGTAAGAGTATAGACAATAAACTGGACTGGAGTTAAAACACTGTCTTAGGCACTATGAGTCAAAATGCCGGCACAGGACTTTTGATGTGTACATGATATTTTATTCTTTTTATTTTATGTATCGCTTATTGGACATTTTACAATCATTTCCTACGTTTATATCTTATTTTATATTTGTATTGCACATTATTATTTATTATGTTTATATAATACATTCTGCATAGATAGATAGATACTTTATTCATCCCAAGTTGGGAAATTGTTTTGTCACAGCAGCCTTTTGAAAAGTGTATACATATTATAAAATATACAGAATAACCTTATTTTTGTATTTTTGACTGTCATGAAAACCAATTTCCCCCCTGAGATATCAATACCATGCCTCAGTTTGGATACAGTTATACCCTGAAAACAGCACAAAATAGGTAATAAGACGCATATTATTTGACTTCGATGTCAATTATAACACTCAGTCTCCCTCCAGCGGCCCGCCCCCCTGTCAGCACATATTGATGGATGTATTGATCAGGCAGCTCACTTTTCTGTCGCATTCAAATCCATCACATCCACTCTACAGGCCTCCCGTCATCACTAGAAATAAGCTGTCATTTGGAATCAGTCTGAGCGTTTTCCCTGATTGTGTTATCAATCCTCTGCTGTTCTCCCTCCACCCCTCTAAAGATGGCTGAGGGTGGGACATATGGCGTCAGTCATCAGACATGTCACTATAATCTTTTTCATATTGTCTGTGTTCTCACAGCTGCCGAGGCATGTAACATAATAGCTCAATAACTTGTGTAAAAGACAGACAGCATTTAAGGATTGACATAGAAAGATGGACAAAGTGACCTTAATGGACATTTAATGGCATTTTGATTTTGACGCCTCAGTCATTTGTCTGAATTGTCTGCCAAAGTATGTCAGAAAGTATCGGAAAAGTTGACACACTTAAATGACTCACTTCCTAACTTGTTGCACAGGTTGAGACAATCCCTGACCAATAAAACCATTTTTTTTCTAAATGTTGCTGCCACATGTCTCACCACCAGTTGCGAGTTGCAAAGCAGAAGTGAAGCAGTGAGGGACCAGGAAGTGTAGTCTTTATTAGGTGTGGAATACTGTAGATATTAATAATCATTTCAGCCACTTTTTAAGCACAAATGACAAACATTTTCTGCGTCCATATTCTACAATATAAGAAATGGCTTTGATAGTAGGCTGAATATCTGGGTGTTAGACATAGTTGAAAAAAACCAAAAACTTTATGAAGTGACTTTGGGCTCAGGGAAATGTTGATTGGCATTGTTATGGTCTTACATTTACAGACAAAATGGTTCAGATTTCAGCATATTAAAAAAGCGTATCTATGTTGAAGGAGGTTAGAAATATAATATGAAACATTTCCGCATTACCCTTTTACAGGTTATGTCCTACTAGCAGGGGTTCATTGGGCTGACCTGCTATAGTTGGTTGGTGTTGGTGTAGGTGGCTCTGTGCTCTGCAGAATGTATGTTGTTCTTTTATGTAATTATTCCTGTGATTTTTTATATTGCAGTTAAATGTAATATCGCAACGTCTGTTCTCATAATCTCTAGCAGAGTGGAAATAAATGCTGTGCGGTTTATTCCATTTCGAAAGCACATTTATAAATACTTTTTCACCTACACCAATGAATAATAGTGATAAATAACCTCAATATTGATCAAAATAATTGTGATATTCATTTTTGCCATAATCGTGAAGGATAAAGACAAAGTGTGTTAAAACAGTCATAGCATAACAAGTCAGAAAAAAACAAAAGATATAATAGTATTGTACTATGACAAAAAAAGTCGAAGTAAAGTATGTTAAAAATATAATTTAAAGTCTTATTATAGTATGTTGAAATATGAAAATAATTCATAGTATGTCGGAAATATCATGAACAAAGTGATAGTATAGTATGACCAAAAATATATTAAAAAAACCTTGTAATGTATGTCAACAAATATGAAAAAAGTCTGTAGAGTATTGTGTGTTGGAAAACAATTAATGTAGAAAGATGTGAATTGAAATCATAATAATGCAAGTCATAAATAACATGACAAAAGTCATAATATAGTAAGTTAAAACATTGTAAAAAATCTTAATAGAACATTATGTTGTATTGTAAGAAGTAAATGAATTCCAGATGAATGTAATTAATAAAAACCCTGTTATTCTTATAGTTGAAGAAACCTATGAGTGGGTGGCGGTTGGCCTGGGCATCCATCATAGCCCTGGCTGGATACCATAAATCGAAAGGCATGTGTGGTATCCCCCCCTTCTCCCAACACTTCCACCAACACCCCCTGTCGAGAGAGCCCCCCCCTATTACGAATCCTAAATATGATAAGTGTGCATGTACTCTGCTGTGACAAACCAGATGTGGGTCCTAGCTTGTATTGTGGCGGTCCATCAGTGTGTTGTGCTCGGGTCTGTAACGTCATGTTGTGTCGGTACTCACAGCACTGCAGGTAAACGAAGCGTAAGCTCCACTGTCTGTCCTGCTGGTGCTTCCGCGTGAGTTTGACGGACAGAGGGCTGAGGCTGGTGTCGGGGACAGGACAGGGGCTTGTTTGGATTCTTATCTCCTCTGCAACGGTCGCCATCATTTTTATTACCATATCTCTCCCCCCCACCCCCCTTCACCTCCTCTCTTCTGTATCGCTCTCTCCTCTTCATCCCGCCCCTTTCGCGACGCGTGAACGCGCACGGTCCTCCGGATGCTGCACGTCCCCGATGTTGCTTTCTGCGTGAGCTGCATACTCTGGAACTCTGCGGTATGTGCCCATAGAGTAGACTGTATAATAAAGGCATGGTCCATGGGTTTATGTTTTCATGATTATCATTTTTCATCTATTTATTATTTGTATTTAATTTTGTATTATTCATTTTTTATTTCACTATTTGTTTTAGCATTTGTATTTGTTAATTCCTGAATTAATCTATTGGTTCATATATTTATGTATTTATATTCACTTGTTTATTTATCTTTACACTATTTTTGAAAACTGTTTTTTTAATTTATGTATTCATGTATTATTTCATTTATTAATTCCTGTATTTATTTGTATATATTACTATGTAATTTGCACAGACAGAAGTAATTCAGCCATGTTTACTTAACACTTTGAAGCCTTGTTATAAATACATATTAAGTGTAATGGTGATACAATGCTCGATACAAAACATAGCATTGACAGAGAAGTGCAGTATGGGGGCTCATAACATAAATCTGTTTTATTTGCAAATAAAATAATTCCTCCTCTCATCTGACTGACTGTTATGCTCAACTCAGCAACCTAATTACATTTCACTAGTAAATGGCTGGACCAGAGTATCATATTATTTGTTGTTATTTGTTTTCAATTTTGGGATTTTAATTTTATAAAACTTGAAAACTGAACTTAAGTACAATTAGTTTGAAGTATTTGTACTTCAGTCTTTTTCATGCTTGGTTAACCACTTAGAGATGTCACCCTTAGCATATATTATCTCAAAATCAGTTGGGGGAGGTGTGTAGAAACAGCTGTTAGCATTTTGAAACTCTATCTCTCTTTCCAACCACAGTTAAAATGGAGTTTTCTGGACTGTAGGGAGTTGGCTTCGGAACCAAAGAGGTGCCGTTCAAGACTTGATCAGAACACAAATACAGAGTGATCCAGACTAATGAAAAAGAATGTAAAAACTGATGGGAAAAAAAACAAAAACATTTAGGCCGAATGTGTTTAGGTCCTTTGCATGTGTATATTATTTTTACCGTGTATATATATGAATTAAGAGCGTGAAAAACGGAATTCCCTCTTGGGGATTAATGAAGCTGCTTATTCTTCTTTAATAAAAAACTATTTATTAAATTCCAAAACTAAAACGGGCTCCGACCCGCCCGCATCCATGTGTTAGCAGGGACAGAAGTTAGGCCACAGAAAACCATGCATAAACAACCATTTTGTTGCAGAAATGTTTAGTTTTAAATATGTGAAAGATGAGTTTCCTGTTGTGTTGTCTTAACAGTTTTCTGTGACACAAGCAATAACATACAAACGTTTTGAAAATGGTCTTTATTGCATTAGAAATTCAAGACTTGAACACTCAAAAGGGACCAAAAACATGCTAGAGAAATCCCTGCTTATGCTACTGAAGAAAAGATGTCATGCATACAGAAATGAGGCCATACTGAATCATCTAATGACTTAAAGGTGGGGTAGGTAATTTTGGAGAAACCAGCTCGAGTGTGCTAGAATTTGAAAATACACAGCCGGAAGAAATCTGCTACTTCCTTACAGAGCCCCTCCTCCAACACACACAAACGCGCACATGACCAATGAGGGCACGAGATAGGTTTGTGCACAGATGGAAGGCTGACAGGCAGGTAGGCCATCCAGTTATTTTAGACGGGCCGGCTAAAATGATTGGTCGTGCTTTTTACAGTACTACGGCTTCCACAGATGACATTTTTTTATGGATCTTTTGTCAAAGCACTTAAGATATTCATTGCTATCGGGATGTTAAGAGCATTCCATGGAATATAACAAAAAGTGTATCTCGAGCCGGTTTCTCAAACTTACCTACCCCACCTTTAACTCATAATAACAGTGTTACATTTGAGAGTCAAAGTCAGCTTATTTAAAAGTTACATTTGAAAGTGTTTGGTAGGTTTTCAAAGAAGACATTTTTGATTGTTAAGTTTGATTAAATGATTAAACTCAGCAAACTCATAATAGAATACAGAGTGAGTATGTGTTCTGGTTAAATGCAAAGATTTGGAGAATCTATTTAAACAGAAACATCACAAAGAACATTTACAATTTTGTGCAAATTCCACAATAAAGCAGGTATTGATTATTTCAATTAAAATGACATAACATTGCCTAATAGTTCAACTTAAGCCTCTTAATGTTTGAATAAATACTGTACACAGTAAAAACCTCATTGTACAAACAAGTGAAGGTGTTTCCCTCCTATGAGTTGAGACCTCTTAAGAGGTAGGGTGGAGGCCCTGGTTGTTTATACGTTACTAGTTATTCAATAATCCAACTCAAAAGACATGACAACCTATTTTTGAGCAAACAAGGTCAAGAACCTTTTTTATGCTTAATAGCACAAACAAGCATAAAGTCATTGCACAATAATGAGTAAGTAATGATAACGTTTATCATGCAAGTATAAAACAGAACAGATGCAGAAGATTCATGCAGCGATGCAAGTGTGTTATTATGGCAGATAATGTGCCACATATTTAGAAGCCACTGCTTTGTCGAGGGAGCCTTTGTGATGCTAGCTTCTGGGTCGGCCGAGAAAAAGATGTCATCACTGACTGCACCACTCTATATGCCGTTGCAGCTGGTGTGATCCTATTGCATGATGTCTCTAGTTATATCTGTGCTACATATACAATTTGCAGACATGATTGGATGTTGTCTGATGCTGCTTACAGTATGCTAACTTTTTGCCCCAGAAAGTGTCAATAAAAAGTATGCCTTAACTTTAAACAATACATTGATTACAAAAAACATTCAACAATGCAACTCTTCTCTTGATACGGGAACGTACCATGCAGATTTTAAATGTTCACCTTGCATAATTCATCCATTTTCAAAAGTTTGAGGGTTTTTGCAGTCTGTATTTACCACAAGTAGCAAATGTGCAAACTTTAACTATGTTAGCTGTAGCTACACACATGGAGTGTTTTCTATTGATTTTGTATGCAATTGCGCTGCAACAAAAATGAACCTTGTGTTCTAACAGTGCTTTACATCAATACAAATCTTGATTTTAATCAATGTTTTGGGTCACCATACTTATAAATTAAAGCATTTTTTTATCATAAAAGGCACATTATTTAAAGCAATGCACATTTCTTTTTTGGATCCCTGAAAAGCTTTCATTTTCGTAAATCAGTATTGCAAATCTATTTATTTACAAATTTGACAATCAAATATTAAATAGCAAATTTTCCTTACAAAATGTTGTGTATCAAATGTGTTGCACATTAAATGTAATTATTAAAAAACACGTTTTTTCGAGACTAAAAAGAACCTGTTTCAATGCATCATTATGACTGTGGAAGCACTAAATACTAGAACAGTAGGTTAAACTCTCAAAAATTATGTTTCCATCCAACAAATTAGTTTTTCATTAACTTGAGAAAGATATTTTCTCCTGGATTATAATTGTTTTTGTTTATTACAAATGCATTTCTGAGCAAGGTCAACATAAGTCAGTGTATAGCAGAGATCGGGTTGGATGGATGAACACAAGAAAGGGACTTTCATCCAATGTGGCTCGTGTGAAACTAAAGTCGTTCACTTTAAACCATTTAAGTCCTTAACTTAACAAGCGTAACAAGATGTATTATTATACCTCACCTAGTTCTGTTGCATAAACATTACAAAATAGTTTAAAACTGCGATCATAATCCAGGAAGAAATACTTTCCCTTGAAATGTAGTTGAAAATGCAGTTGGAACATTCATTTTAGGACACAGGGTTTTGGAATAAACTGATTAACTGGGAATATAAAGAAGCAATTGTAGTAATGGCTGTGTAAGAAATCACATACTAAGTACTATACCTCAGACAAAATGTGCCCATACTGCATACTACATACTACCTAGTAGATTAACGATTACTGTAAGTATAATTTTACTAGCATTGGTAAAAGATGTATCAGATGACCGCCAGCGGCTCTCACATCCCTGAAAAACTTGTTGCTCATTTCCAAACAGGCCTTACTTTGATAAACTGATCACATATTGGGACTCAAAATATTTCCTTTTTTGCATTTAAAATGATGTATACTCATTAATTAAATGACAAATTAACAGTGTTTAGCTTAGCTTTAAATCTTATAAAACCGACACAGTCACAAAGCACCCAGATGCAATGCATTGTGGGGCAGTTGACTGGGTCGAGCACTGTAAGAACATGCTGCATACTCAGATATTCTTTCTTACGTGGCATTCGTCCTGCATTTCTTGCATACAAAATATTCACATACTATGCGGTGCGAATGTCATACTTAAGAAGGCTAGTGCGTCAGTATGAGGTTTCAAACACGGCCAATAATGTTGGTATCCTTCTATCCAAAAGTATTTTTCGGTTTTTCTCATTTCAAAGTGTACAAAATTCAGATTTCATAAGAAATTACAAGCTACAGCTCTCTCTTTCCATCATGCTAAAAAACATTCAAACTATTACAAATAACTTTATGTACGAAACTGTTTTTTGGTATAAACTAATGCTTTACTCGCTTTTTTTCACACAAAGACTATTCTAGCAAACATCATGCCTAACTACAAAAAACCCAGAAACCCCATTTACGCATATTTTTTACATAACTGTGAATCACATGACTCAGTGGAATTTGAAAGGATTAGACCTGCTGATCTGGTTTCTGATTGGCTAGATTGAGATTTGATTACAGTTTAAGAACCATTGCCCTTCCTCACAACAATTATGTTTTTGGAATACCATTTTGAGATATTAATATCAAACAGTAACAAAAATGGTATTTCTCAGGGCTCTGTGCAGACTATTATAAGCCAATATGTCAGCTTTAAAGTCCTTAATCTCTGGTCCTGAGCAAAGTGCTGCACAATGAGAGAGATGACTGGATGGTGGCATTAATTAGGGAGAGAATGTGAGGAGAATAAAGAGACAGAGGAGGCAGATGGATATCACTGACTGATGCTACGTAAAACATTAGGAGTTTGCAGACATTGGGAAAATGGCAGAGAATGACAAGTGGCGATAGAGAACAATTGTCAAACAGTGCAATGGTTGTAAATGCATCCATCTGGAATTACTGCGCCTTGTGATTCCCATTCTGCTGTTTATCTTCACTTATGAGCGCCAAAGCATTGGAGTGTTTTAACTCATTTACTCTGGGAGATTGTTATGAATGCTGCTTAGGACTGAGAAGCCAAGTGTGGCAGAATTTAGCTGTTTTCAAGTACTGGCTGATTCAAATTAAGGAAGATTATTAAAAAGCGTTTGGTTTTCGTCTCGTGTCAGGACTCATTTTGCTCCTGGTTCGATTGTTATCAGCATATTAAGTAGACGTGACTATCAGCCATTTGGATGCTTTTCATAAGGTCCATGCTACACAAACTAAAACGTTTTATCATCTACTCACACGGTAAAACATAAAAAGACCTATTCAGTGAAGGTGTGCCATGTCATTGTTCTGAAGGTCTTTGACCAGAAAGCAAATGGCCATTGTTCAGTAGTCCACACTACGAACTTGGACTGTTCGGGATATACACCAAGCCAACTCGCAACAACTGAGCTCCTGCCATCCAACTTTTCCAACACAGCAGGCACAACACACAGGACTTCCACACATAGGGTTAGGGAGGCTACTATGAAGTAGACATAGTAATTGTGACATCACCCGTTGGTTTGTGTCAATCCCAAGGTAGCCATGTCCAAAAGAATACCCTGCTTTTGTGTCTATTTTACTGTCAATAGAGAACCGCAGTGACGCGTCCTAAAACCCGGAAGTAAGTTAGCATTTTACCACGTCCGGTTCCTTCGACAAAAAGCAATGCAATTTCTCCATAGGATTTTGGAAAATAGCTCGAAATAAAAATCCTATGGAGAAATTGCATTGCGTTTTTGACGAAGGAACCGGAAGGAGTTTACTTCCGGTATTTAGGACGCGTCACTGCGGTTCTCAATGGGACCACACTTACAAGTAAACATTGTGCTTTATTGAAACAAAATTGAGATTGAAAAATTGAAATTAAATGAGACGATAAACATCAAGGTTTTTTTTCCGTTGACTTCTTTATAATCTGACTTGTCACTACTAGAGGAGTTGTGTCCACAATGTTACGTTTCACTTTTACTTTGTAAATAATGTAGTTATTTCAATCCAACACCTTATCAAGTAATTTTGTGGTCTTTAATATGCTGATAACATTCGAAAGGAGCGCCATATTACAGACAATATTTTTAATATCAGTCCCTTATTTATTTTTGAATTCTTCCTCCCTTGTCTCTCTCAATGCTACCCTCCGGTTGCTCTGTTGGCTTGCACAGGGATAGACTACCACAATGTGCCTCCTACAATGAAGCCAACTGCTTCTTTTCATCTGACAGCAAGGATTTAACCAGCTTTACTAGCAGGAGAAGCTAGTGTGAGCAACAAGGACATGCTCCCCCACCAGCCACCCACCTGTTGGTGTTGTTTGGGGATCCAGCCTAAAGCCAGAGGCATTCGTAAGCAGGTACTGACCCCCAGTCTCTGCAGCGATGAGTGGGTGTTATTGCTCTTCTACAACAGTAAAAGGTTTTAAGATGCCATGGCTTACAGTGATTTTGGAGCAGCTAAAGGTTCTGATAGTAGAATGGCTTATTTCTTAACAAGGCATTTTTAGATTACTGCTAATTGCCGTTTTAAAATTCTTTGTGGGGCGCAATTTTAAAATGTATTCATTGCGGAGATTCAGCAAACACAACTCTGGCAAAATCTGGTAAATTGTGCAATGTGATTCTCCTAAAGCTTTTAGAATAAAAAACATTTGACATTAATCATTTAAAAAAAAACTGTCTCTTAAAACAGATGTCGTCACAAAACTATATTGACCATATCAGGAAATTGTCAAGTGGATTTATTTTATCTTACCCCTGTGTCACGGTGGCTGCATCTAAAGTGTTAACACATGTAAATATGGTCTCTTTCTACACCTGAAGAGACATCATTCAGATTTTTCTAACCTTTTTTTGTATCAGGTAATATTACTGGTTTAGTTTTCTTTAAAAAAATGGGATTTGTTTGGATAAAATGAATCTAAAAAAGAGCAAATGTCAGGTGAAGGACACGTTATATTTAAAAATATATCCTATGCCTTTTATTGCTGGTCTGCTATCATTGGGAGAGGGTATAGTGCAATTTAAATGACCCAATATGTGTCAAAAGTCCACATTATTTGCATATCAAAGAGCTAGTGTGCAACAAGTTAATTTCAATACATTCATTATTCACGACCCTTTAAATGAAAATCGTTAAAAAAACATTTCTTACTTGATTCGGGATTGGATATTGTTGTGTTCAATATTGGTTATTAAGGAAGTTATGATGGGTACAAATACCACTATGGGATTTTTGTATTTCTTTTATGGTCACTCTCAATGAGTGTGTGGATTCTTAACTTAAGATAAGGTTGTGGATTTCGGACTTTATTGACTGGAAAAGTGGCCATTTTCCCTCAAGTGCATTATGTTCACTTGTGGGTCTTTGTCAGCTTAATCATTTTTTATTATTTGGGTAATTTTCAAACAAGCCCATGCCAAAACACACCAGCCTCTCTGCGGAGCGGATGGCCCGGAGGATGAGGGACAGAGACTGGTTCAAGGTGCTATGGCAGAGCACTTCCTTGGCTGCCGAGTTGTGTTTGAGAGCTCTGCTGGTGACGTTGCAATGCAGGACGGCTTCCTGTGAGAACCTGAGGACGGAGAACTGAGGGGTCCTCCCTGGGAGGCTGTACAGCAGGTTCCTATAGGGAGAAGGGGAGAAAGAAGGAGGACAATGTGTGTGAATAACTTTCTTCATATAAGTGGAAAATTGCCTCGTTCCAACTGGACAAATAACCCACTAGTACTGACAGTATACCATCCGCTCCTGCTTCAACACACACAAAGTGTTGCTTCTTTCTGTTGCTATGTGACCAGCGTTAAATTGGATAAGTAGTCAAAACAATAATAATGTAGATAATATTAGATATGAGGCAGCAGTAGCTCAGTCTGTAGGGACTTGGCTTGGGAACCGAAGGGTCGCTGGTTCAATTCCCGATCGTACCAAACATATTGAATGTGGACTGATAGGCCAAGGTGTCCTTGAGCAAGATGTTCTTGAACAAGGCACCCACAACTGCACCTTAATATACTAAATCCTAATTTGGGAAACATTATTCTCACAGTAGCCGCCTGTTAACAGGCTTTACAGGTCAGCTGAAAATATAATAAAATACAATAATTGATTAACATAAACAGTAAATACATGCATATATACAGTAGAAAAGACATATATCTATGTATGGAATAAATGTGAATACTCTATAATAGATACATCTACTTCAATTAATTATTACAGCTTATTAACAAAAAAAACATACAATCAATATGTTGTCCTCAAAGAAACCAGTCTCCATTGAAAGAAACAGCAATTTGACCTTGCTCCTGCTAATAGAAATATACTTCATTCAGACTCAATAGAAACAAAATACAACTCAAAACCACCTTGATCAGTCTTTCTATTGTTCCAACAATCACAATTGGTTGAAATAAACCAAATGCACCAAGTTTGATGTGAAAGGAAGTAAGTAAGGAAGTCAAACTTTATTTATATAGCACCCTTCTCAACACGAATGTACAAAGTTCTTTACAGTATACAGTACACAATACACAATTCATAGTACAACTATCAAATGTAGAATAAAATGGATAAAACACAGCAGGTAAAACAGAGGATAAAACACCAATGAAAAACAGCTACAAACGCACCTCCTCCGGCGCCCCAAAGGCCTGTCGGAAAAGGTGAGTCTTTAGCTGCCCCTTAAAAATCTCAACTGAGACAGAAGCTCTCAGTTTCTGGGGGAGTTTATTCCAAAGCCTTGGGGCCACCGCCTCAAAGGCACGGTCCCCCTTAGTTTTTAGCCTGGTTCGGGGCACGCTTAGGAGGCCTTGCTCAGAGGACCTCAGGGCCCGGGTTGTGCTGTGAGGGTGGATCAGGTCATTGATGTAGGCTGGGGCTTGGCCATGGACAGCTCTATATGTGAAGACCAATACTTTAAATTGGGTTCTGAGATGGACAGGGAGCCAGTGCAGGGCAGAAAGGATCGGAGTGATGTGGCATGTTTTTTTGGACCGAGTGAGCAATCTGGCTGCAGCATTTTGGACCTGTTGTAGCCGGTTTATTGATGTTTTATTGAGGCAGGAAAAAAGGGCATTGCAATAATCAAGCCGGGATGAAATGAAGGCATGGATAGCCATCTCCATTTCTGCGTTTGATAGAACCCCCCTGAGCTTGGCAATGTTCCTGAGATGGAAAAAACAGGTACGGGTCAGGAGTTTGATATGTTTGTCTAGTAGCATAGACTGATCGAAGGTAACACCAAGGTTTTTTATGTTTGCCCTTATGTTACCACTAACCCAGGTGGCTTGCTACCTTAGAGGCGATGTTATCAGCCGCTAAGATCAATACTTCTGTTTTTGATGCATTGAACTGTAGGAAGTTGCTTGACATCCACTCCTCGATTGCAGACAGACATGTAACCAGGGTGTTTAAGTTTTCCATTTTGGCGGGTTTGAAGGAGAAGTATAACTGGATATCATCTGCATAGAAATGATACGAGACACCCTTGAATTTGCTAATCAAGCGGCCTAATGGGAGCATGTACAGGGCAAAAAGAAGGGGGGCTAAAACAGAACCCTGGGGCAGGCCGCGGGATAGGGGAGTGCTGTGTGATGAGAACGGGCCCACCGCCACAGAGAAACTTCTCCCACTGAGGTACGAGGCAAACCACTGGAGGCCAGACCCTGAGATGCCTACCCACTCCCTGAGTCTATCTAGCATGATGGCATGGTCCACTGTGTCAAACGCTGCACTCAGGTCCAACAACACCAGAACCACGCAATCACCTGCATCCGATGCCATCATAATGTCACTGGAGACCCTGAGGAGAGCTGATTCTGTGGAGTGGTGTTTTCTGAAACCTGATTGGAATTTGTCAAGGATGTTATTGTTATTCAGAAATGTATTGAGTTGATTAGCAACAACTTTTTCTAAAACTTTTGACACAAATGGGAGCTTTGAGATGGGCCTGTAATTCTTCGGGAGAGAGGGATCGAGATTGGGTTTTTTGAGGAGGGGCTGAACAACCGCCTGCTTAAAAAATGATGGGACGGAGCCAGAGACAATGGAGCTGTTTATAATGTGGAGCAGGGGTGGAGCGACACATGAAAAAACTTCTTTTAGCGTGGGCGTTGGTAAAGCATCCAGAGGTCCTGAAGAAGATTTCATAGCGCTGACTACAGTCGGCTATAGTGATGCAGGAGAAAGTACTCAGCGTGGCCTGCCTCACTGGACAGATAGGGAGGGGGGAGTGGGAGGGGGTGATGCTCGACCTCACATCAGCTACCTTGTTTACAAAAAAAAGTGAGAAAACGATCGCAGTCGTCATTTGAATAAAAAGGAACTGGGGGGGTGGACGGGTTTACAATGGTATTTATGGTTTTAAATAGTACTCTGGGGTTGTGCTTACTAGAGGAGATGAGGTTAGAAAAATAAGTAGCCCGGTCGTTTTTGACCAAATTGTTATAATCACAGAAAAGGTCCTTCAGATGGAGACGGTGTACCTGGAGGCTGTTATAAGTTCTCCTCAAAGCTACCAGACTCCATTGACAAAAAAGTCATTTTACCGAGTTGATTATCATAAAAGCCACTTTGTTTGAACTTGACAGAAGATTGCTCGTTTGAGCAATGAAAAAAAAAGATGAAATAAGTACCTTGTATAAAAGAATGATCACAGGAACCGCCATCTACTGTTTTTACTCACACTGCTTTCTGAGTGAAACCAGAAAGACATTTTGGGTAACTGGAAATGGAAAATTATTCTATGGGTTTTCTGTGTTAATAAACACTGAAACTAAATGTTGGAAAAAGGGTAATGACACCCTGCACCCCGCCTGCCAGTGCAAGCAATGTGGGCCACATGATTATTAATTATAATTATTATCATTTTACATGTCTCTTTGTCTTCATGTCACACTGCTGTACCCACGATCATGCACACGCGGCACATACATAAACGCAGACAAGCCTTCGGGTGGGGGGGGAGCAGTGGCTTGTAGGTCAGAGCGGCAGAGACTGCACAGTGCTGCTGCTCTCTGGGCTGAAGTACATCGATTTCTATTAAAGTGGCTGAACAGACAGTCTTACGGAGTAAATGGAGTGATTTTTCATCTGTTAAGACACAGTTTGTGAGCTGTAGGGTGTGAAGGAACCTCGACCTTCAGCACACAATTGTAGACTCAAAGTCAGATGTATCTCTACACCTACAGTGAGGCTCATGTAAGCTATATATTTGCTTTGAATGGTTATTATCTATAAACATTTAAATAACGTAATGTTTATACGTTTGTTGCTTGATGTAAGTAGCTGTCATTCATCACATAATCCATGTTTGCTAGCTCGGAATCTTCTGTGTTTGACTTTATGACAACATACTCTCTTCTATGCTGCAGCCAACACAAAGTGTATTTGTTCAATTTAAAATGAGTCTGCACTTTCAACTGTGTTGCCATACAATGATAACATACCTTTGACATTAATAACACAACAGATGTCTATACTGTATGAAACAGAATCCGTTGTAATGCTCTCCAGATTATTTTCAAGTTTCTCTAAATTGGTTTTCATACTGTTCTGAAAAGAATGGACAACAGTGGCTGACTATTGATTCTTGATAACCCTAAAATGTGCTCAATGAGGTATTTCTATAACAATTATTACATTTATTTTACAATTTGCATGAATGCAATTATGGTGTCTGTACGTAGTAAGTGAACAGTTCTGGTCAGATCACCTGAACTCTTTCGCTTCTTTAAGGGCATTCCAGAAAACTGTAAACACAGCAATACATTTTAAAGTTGAAATGTTACAAAATATACGCATCCAGCTCAATGGTTGTTCTGATTGGCTGGTAGAGATGTCACATGTAACAATGTGAGCGTTAAACAGCAAAAGAGAGTTAATGTGTTTGTTTAAAGGTTTGTTTACTAAAGGCTCTCAATGTCCTACAACAATATAGCAAATGCAAGCGACATAAATGAAGGTAATGGAGCATTAATACTAATATTTAAAGCCTACCATACCAACAATAATACCATACTAATTGATTTTAAAAATGGTATTACAAGAGTATGTTGTAAAGTGACAATGGTATAAAGAGTAAGTAGTAAGTTCCATGCTTGTTACGGGGGATAAAAAAGCTAGGAACCAGATGTTATCCCTAACAGGTGAGCAAAACGGAACAAAAATGAAGAAAATAGGAGAAAGAATAAGAGAGCAATGCCTCATAGCCAATATAATCTCATATGCCCATTTCCTCTGACCAACAGACTGTCATCCAGTGTCTCTCTGTGGATATCCAGTTATGAAAGAGGTTATTTTGAAGCACCTCAGAGTGTACATAAAGACAACTGCTATCGATCGGTGAGGCCCCGTGCAGCCTGACATCCACTCTTAATGGAGCCTGCCTCCTGCTCTGCAACACAACAAATTGGGTTTAAACTATGTCTCCTGCCTCAGGTGTCACTCACTGTGCAGCAGCAGCAGCATCCATCCAGCACCGACAGCAGCACGGTGATCTGAGCGTCCGCCGCCTCTTAGTGAGAATCTATTAAAGGTATGGCTGAAAAGAGATGTCAAAGTGGACATGTTCTGCTCATTTTCAGGTTCATATTTGTATTTAGTGCACTGTAGTTACATCACTAT